TATTTGATAAACTGTATATACTAACTATAGTAACTACCGTTATTGTATATATCTGTATATATACATACATTTTGATGAATATCATAATTATAATTCTCGTAAATTTAAAACCGAGTAAAGCTATAGTTTAAAGACGGATATGGTAATTATATAACATTATAATTTATAATATAACGTTTTTAATATAACAAATAATAATAATAATAATAATAATTGCTATTATTATATAAATTAATAACGTCTAATAATATAATATTTTGTAATTTGTCTAGGTATCTGGAAATAAGGGAATTTGAATTAATATAGTTTGCTTATATAATTGCATACAGGTATAAATAAATACGTTTAGCTTCCATAAAATATAAATTAATTAATTTACATTTTTTCTAAGGTATACTAACAACTAGGCAGGCCAAAAAAAAATTTAAGCCGGCCATTATTATGTATTACACTTATAAGAGATTAGGGATATTATTACAAAAAAACATTTTTCTTGCTACTCTCGTAAATTAAAATATTTTTATTTTCCATCTAATATAATATTATGAATATCGTATACCTAATAATAGTAAGCAGGTACTTAAATTATTTAAATTTAAATATTTATTAACACTATATTGTACCTAAAACCGTTGTATATAAATCAAAATATTCTGAAATCCTCAGTCACACATACTATAATATTTGATACAAACTAAATATTTTTATATTGCATTTAAATATTATTATTGCATGGCCATAGTGTGCTAATACTTAAGATCAATTAAATATAAAAAAGATTATTTTTGCTTGTCACAGAAAAATGATAGTTATGCCAAAATGCAATCTTGATAAATTTTAGGTATGCATAAGATTACCCTGCGTCCCTGCAACACATCAAAATATCACAGAATTAATCTGTCCTAATTTTATGGTATAACATTTGGTATTGAATGAGACTGACATGATTATAGTTTACGATTAAAACGAATGTACGGGTTTTACAAAAATGTGTTTGTGATTTTTTGTTTTTTGTGTACACATTTTACAGTATACAAAAAAATAAATTTTGATCTTCAACATATAGAAACATGTCACAGGTAGATAGGTTTTTATAATCGTTCTAAGTTCAAAATTTAGTCAAAAATCACGAAAATATGTTGTAGATGACTTTGTAGAAAGTTCATGACATATTTTTATCAACCCAAGGCTTGAACATTTAATTTAAGGTTCCTAGGTACCTCAAAAGTTTGTATTACAGAAATCTAAAAAACTTTAAAAAAAAATACCTATGCACAATTTATTATTTTTCATAAACATTTAATATTTAAAGATCAAATGTTGTCGTAATATTGAATATTTAAACGAAAATTAATGATTTCAGTTGTTTTAATGTTATTTAAAAAAACATTATTTGAAGGGGCTTAAAACTTTTCACCATGACGTAAACCATTATTTACCATACACAATGCAATTTTCAAAGTATTTAAATTAATTTTAAACTATTTATACAACGAACAACTCGTTCTGCGGCACGTCGGTATTGACTCAAAAGTTAACAACAGCTATTAATGCAATCTAATATTACTATAGGTACCTATATTATTATAAGATGCGATTTTTGAAATGGCTATGGGTGAAAATTGGGTATACTTATATAGTTATATCTAATAGAAAAATAACATAATCATACCTAGCAGTAAATAAAGAATAAAATATCATACTTAGGAAAAGGAAATATATTTTTTTGTCATACCATATAATTCTCCATTCAGAATATCGGTTTTTGTATACAACTATTTAAATGATTTATCATATTGAATTAAAATTTTACAAGTCTCCAATATAGTCACTTACTCAATGAGATTCTCAACTTTTTTAATACCAGCGTACCACCTACACAGTTTTAAAATGTTCATGTACCACTTGAAAAAATATAGCCTTTTTTTGCTTATCATAAGCGTATACGTTATTTAACATATTGTATGGGATTTTATTTTATTATAAAAATGTACAAACTACAAAATAAGCATTTCATGCCCAAAAATAATACAAAATATGTACAATATTATTACTTATATCGTTATCAAAGTATCGAATAAACTAAATAATATTTAATGTGAATTATGATCCGTTCCATTGTTTTTTCTAAAGAGAGATTTTTTTCACGTACCACCTTAGAGCTTTCCGAGTACCACAAGTTGAGAAATGCCGAGTCCCTGCACCTTATAAAATATTTGTTTCGTCCATAATATAGTATTCTGTTTATATTTCAAATTCATTGATACATATTTTATTTATTTATTTATTTGTTTATTTGTTTATTTAACGCCAATCGGCAATTCAAGAGATTTACAATACAAATTATATACAGAGAATATTAAGTAACAATGTGATGGAGTAATCTTATATAAAAAACGAGGTGAAACATAGTAATTTACAGAGCAAACAACTAAATATTTAGTACAAATAAAAACATAACAATATAATGAAACTAAAAACTAACTAACTTAAGTAATATAATGTACATTTAAAATATCATGATCTATTAGTTATTGAGCAGACGAAGCATTCTGTGTAAAGGATGGTTATGAGAGTAGTTGAAACGGTGAGAAGGGACAAGGAAAAGTGAGTGATTTCTAGTGTAATGTACAGGAACGCGGAAAGAGATAGAGGAAAGAAGGTCAGGGGCATCAACAGTGCCATTAAGAAGAGAGGTGACAAAGGAAAGGTCTGCCTCTATACGGCGAGAAGAAAGAAGAGGGATATTCAAGGAAGATCTAATGGATGAATAGTCATGGGGTGGGTGAACAATCTTGAGCAGAAAAGCAGCGTATGAGAGGAATCGATTTTGAACTCGCTCTAAGCGTAATTGGTCTTTAGCCAAATATGGATGCCATACAACAATTCCATATTCCAAAATAGAGCGGACAAGAGAGAAATAGAGGGAACGAAGACAAGTGGAGGACGTGAAAAGGCTAGTGTTGCGCTTTATGAAACCTAGGACTTTTAAGGCTCTACCAACTGTTATATTAATATGCTGTTCGAAAGAAAGAGATGGAGTTAGGTAGATACCAAGGTCTTTGACAGAAGAAACACGTTCGAGTGGGGAGCCATTGAGGGAATAAGGGAAGATAATATGTACTCGCTTTCTGTGGAATGTCATAGTATGGCACTTGTTGAGATTGAGCGTAAGGCCTATACGCTGAGTCCAGAGACAGAAGGAGTCGAGATCTGACTGAAGTTGACGGCAGTCGGAGATAGAAGCAACTTTAGAATAAATTTTAATGTCATCCGCAAATAGAAGGACTTTGGAGAATGAAAGGTAATTGTTAATTGAGTTAATAAAAATTATGAACAGTAGAGGACTAAGATGTCCTCCTTGAGGGACTCCAGAAGGAGTTATAGACAAGTCAGAGGATTTTGTGATAAAATATTTCACACCAACCGACATTATAATATATTATACTTAATGTGTATTATTATACGGCGATTACAACACAGGCATTGTTAAACGCGACGCAATAGCGTTTGTAATAGTTATTATCGTATAAATACCAACTCATAAATTGAGTATATATTTAGCAATACGCACAATTATGCAGATTAATGTAAGGCTCAACCCGTTAAATACAAACAAATAATAATATGAACACAATGTTTTTGTATGGAACGAAATAAAATAATATTCACACAATTAAAAAATCGTGATTAGTCGACAAAAAAAAAAAAATAAAACCAATATATTATATTATCATTATTAAGCATCGACTTGTTGGGCCGATGTTCGTTTATGCAACATAATATTGTTGATGTTGAATAACAGTTTTATTTTTGTTTTGGTTTAACACCAAATCGTACTTATATCTTTGTTTTATCGGTTCGCAGATTATTTTAACAGCTTAAACAAATATATCGTGTTCATCTTTATATTGCGCACACGTGATTATGGAGTAATTTATGGATATGGCGATAGAGTTTTAACGAACGCTGAGTGACAAAGCCTTTGCCAGGAATGCACCAATTATTAACTGTGCGCCAGCCGTATGCACATGAATATAATATTGGGATCGGCAAAATAATATTTTATAATGATATTATTGTAACAATTATAATTGATAGTAATTGTCGATATATTGAAATACGTAACAATATCAAGTATACGATATTTTGTATTCATATAATATTATTATTAAAGCGGGTTTAACGTTTTTATATTATTATCGACATTGTTACGGCGTTTATTTTCAGAGAGAGTTCGGAATGTTTAAAGAGGGTTACAAGTATAACAGTTGCAGTAATACACAATAATAATAATATGACGACAACAATAATAATAATAAAAAAAGTATCCGTCAATGGAATATTATATTATAAGCTGGTTTGCCGTTTCGTCGTTTCTAATGATACACCGACGTTAACGACGTCTCGCTGCACACACGCACTCACGCACAAGGTTTATAAAAAATAAATAAAAAACGTTTTCGAACACATCGTCTTACCCCCCGGAGCGTGTTACGATTTTACTGTATGTATATATATATTATTATTATTATTTTCGTTCAGACAGTCAATTTAGCAACCGCAGAAGATTTCCTTGTTATTATTGAACGACCAAAAGAAGAGAGCAATACATTATCATCCTCGCCCCCCCCGCCCCTTTATGCGGCCATACCCTTCCTTCCCACGACCACGGAGCCGCTGCATATTCTTTATATCGTGGCCGGGGGCCCGTGTTGAATATTTACCTCGTCGGCTGCAGCAAGCGCGGGGATACCATTTCCTCCACCCCCGCCACTCGTCCTCTTTCGTCGCATACTTAATGCACGACGTTTCGTCTATATATACGCTCTTTTCCTTCATATTTTTTTATTTTTATCTCTCCGCACACATATATACGCGTAAATAATCTTGCACCGTGACCGAAAAAAAAAAATATATAAATAAAGGGGGAGACGCCCGGCGGGAAAGGGCTCGCGGGAACTTTCATATATTTATATACAAATATAACCCCACGCCACCGGTGTACACCTCTGCCTTTACTTACGGTGGCGGATGAGGCGGTGGCTGCGGCAACGGTTTCAGCGTCTTGACAAGCGGTCGGCGTTGAAATATTCAGCACATCATCTATTTGATTGCGACGCACCTGTTCGGTGTAGAACATGTGAAATAAAAATTTCATGTATGCACGTGGCAAAAAAAAAAAAAAAATTATTATTCAACATAACCGGAACTATATCTAGTGGTCTAGATGATTTATTGCTGTTTATATATTTTTGAATTTTTCAGTTCCTTTTTTATTTTTTTCATTCTTTACGTGTTCATAAATATTCACGCCTGCGCGCAGAAACGACCGGAAAACAATAGCAGTCAATATGCGTAATAACACACATAACGCAACGACTTTGATAAATTATAACTACATACCCACCCATGTTAATATTATATTATAAGTTGGTAAAATCAGAAGAGACTGATTTTACGCGAAGCTATAATATTATAGTCTTCGGTTGAAGAAGATATAATAATATTAGAAGTCAGCTATATTATAATATTATGTTGTCATTATTATCAAGTCTCTGAATTATTAGGAATTAATGGGAAAATATTATTATTGTATGCGATAAATACGTGTCAGACAATTATAATTTATAATACACATTATTATTACAATATGCATATGTAAGTCTGTTCCAGTTTAACATTATTATTATATTATAATATTACCAATTCATCAATTCGGCATTTGCATTCAGTATTGATATTATTTCAACTGAAATAAAATAACATTAAATAAATAATTAATAGGTGGGTTTAGGGTAATTGTGTTATTTGTAGATAGTTAAATTTATATCGTATTTTAATCGTATTAAAAAGTGTTTTGTTAACTTCACAATGTAAATGAATCACTGAATTAGATATTATGTAAAAAAAAAGGGCTTAATCCGAAATAAGATTAAAAAACCGCAATTGTGTCTATACGAATGAAAAATTCACTAAGGAGAGAATGCAGACTGAGAAAAAAAATTTTAAATAAAATGACCGGTAACGCTCTTGAGAATGTGCGAAAGTATTGTGGGAAAAGACATCGTAGAATCTTATCGATAAAAACAAAAGGGTGTACAAAGCAAAACTGTCCTCAACGTCACAGTGAAGTAAATAAGGAATAAAAGTATAAAATGATTACAGTTTATCAGCTGAAATAATGTCAAAAGGAGGAGCATAAAAACATTTAAAACGTCCATCGCCGTTGCATTATTCATAAGAGAATTTCAATTTATATTCGTATTGCGTTTGTGTTCGGGTTGCATTGTGATCCATTTGACGGTCGTTTATTTTGGGACATTTAAACAAAAAAAAAAAAAATCAATTGATTACTCAAAAATATCCGAAAAGATTTTCGTATTTTAATTGATATTTTTTTAGGACACCGCGCACTTATTGGGTGAACATTCGGAATGCTAAATTAATCACTGCTTTACGATTTCTCATCTGGAAATTCAAACACGAACGTATGCAAACATAATATGTGTATAATATTATATATGTGAGGAAATCGTATTTCAAAATGGTCGTATCAGAAATTTAGAAACATAAAAAATATATGGAAACTGCTGATATAACTTTGGACGATTTTCCATTCTCCTATCTCACTAAAATAACTACACGTCCTGGACGACCCTACGATATTTACTTGTGGGTATATATTATTATGTAGTGAAATAAATAAATAAAATGATTAAATGTGATATGAAATCGAATTGTTCTGAAATATTCTACCTGGGTACTAAGCGGTTAATAATTATTGTGATGTTGAATTATGAATTTTGTGAAATTTGTGCGTTACTCCTGCGGTATAATGTTATGCCAAATAATAAAATATTTTTTAACGATATTGTATTCATTAAACTGCCGAGTGGTAGTAAATATTATTATTTTTATACTGAGTCCATTAAAAAAAAAAATTGTCTTGCTGATCGTTACTCGCAGACTTGCAGCAGAGTTCAAACAAATTAAACGAAAAAAAAAGAAAAAAAGAAAAAGAAGATTTATATATCTGCAGAGTGACAGAGAACGTGTATGTATAGAAATCCAAGAAATTGTAGAGTTTCAGATAATGGAAATAGGTCCTTTGATGTTATAGGTGCCTTTCACCCCATGTCCGTAAAATGCCGGTACGGCACTGTGACTTCTTAAATGATTTTTCAATTACTAACCGTTTTATCATAGTTTAATATTATAGCATTAGTAAAAAACTGCAGTGATACCTTACTGTGATCAATTGTGTACGAATGAGTTCGTTATAGTTTTATTCATACGATTCGATTCCATATTTTACGAATAATTATTTCTGTTAGCCATTCATATTATTATCGATTATAATGCCAATTATTGTTCAAAATGTCGAATTTTTACATGCACAGTAAGAAAAAAACTGACTATGTATTAAAGCAAAAAAAGAGAATAATTTTCAATGTAAAATAAAACAATTTTTCGATTAATTATTATTTTGTCAAATTTATTTTTTGTTTCTGCAACATATTTACAATCTGTTCATAGGAACATTAAGCACACTGCGCCGTGAGTCATTATTTATGTATATGAATTGTTAAAATTGTTAAAATTATTTAAAAAAATCTTTTTCACAGAAGTCCCTCCTAGTTCCGATTAAATTTTTCTTTGGGAGAGGGGTGATTATTGGTTTTTAGGTCGTATATCTAGCAGACTGCGACACAAGTTGCATTTAAAATGTCTTGGGGGCTTACCACACTAGTTACCTATCTTATTTCTTAGACAAACAGTTATCTGGGTTACAACTTACAAGTTTCTAAATTGTCGTCGTGTGTTGTCTCCAATTAATACTATTGGTTCATTCGTTTGGTTTTTATCAGTGATAATAAACCGAAAATATCATGTTACTCCGATTCCGTTACTTTTAACAGTAATTTAAAACAACGTTTCGTCGTCGTCATCGTCGTCTTGGTGCCCATGCGATCCATTGAGATTGTATTGCTTATTTAAACAGTAAATATATAAAAAAATATATTATTGGTAACACGAAATATCAAAAAAAAAAAAAAAAGGAATTCATTAGGAAACGTAAAAAATAACATTTACATATTATGAAAAAAAAATCAAAATTAATAAGTTTATTCCATTAACAGGTACTAATAAATGAAATATATTCGTGTATAAGAAATAATCACGGCGTTACTTATATATTATGTATTTAAATCCGAACCCATGAACCCATTGTCATAATCATTATGTTATATAGTAGCCACGAATTACAATCCATTTTCCGTACTGCAGTATTCTCAATAGTTATGAGCCAAAGGTAGTTAGTTTCTTAACGAAAAAAAATAAATCTTGCGCTATTTTCACTATATTATTATATAGTGACATAAAATATAAATAATAAAATGAATGCTCAAAAGTTATTATGAAAAAAATCACCAATTATTCGGGTGTCATTATATGCAAAAATGGTAAGTAACTCGTGGAAGAAAATAATAGTACATTACATATCCTGCAGCACTTATTATTATTTATACGTTTTGAAATACTATTATATAATAGAGTGACGATACAATTATTAAGTACCTACCTGACCGCAATATGGTTAAAAGTTTCCAAACGCTATATAGATGCATATAATTAATTATTATTGTGTAAGTACTCTCAAAACGCATAGTAGATCCCGTATAATCATCTGTTTTCAAATTAAATAAGTTTTGGATTTTTTTTTTTGTTACTCTTGATGTTAGCCACTTATGAATATATATTTATTATTTTTTTTTTTTGTGCTATTCTGTATTTCAATGAAACATATTATATTCACATAATATAACTATAAAAAATAATATTATTATTATAGTACAGTAATACGCTTAAATGACTTTAATATTTTAAAATTGTAGAAAAGTTCCAAATTATTTATATCTTATTCATGAAATGTCTGTTTTGGAGTTATATTTTCCCGAATAATATTCATATTATGTTTTTATAATTATATTCGAGTTGTAAAATTTTCAATAATTGCTGAGGGAGTATTAATAAATAATAAAACGCTAGTTTCGTAAAACAAAGTTATATTAGATGTGGCATATAATAATGGTAGAAAAAAAAAAGTAAACAAATTACACATGATCAGTTAGTTTTTATTTTGTAACATTCATTTTTATTTAACAGACCAAGAGCAGAAAATATCACGTGCAATTTATATACATAAAGCGTACGATAAAATGTAAAATAAAATAGAATATTATGTGATGAATGATGGTATTTAATTAAAAATATTTGGAACATTTGAAATAATATATTGTATACATGTTTGAATATATATTTCACTAATATAATATGATTAACCTATATAATATATTTACTCTTATACCGTGATTTATAATAGTGTACGTTTATTTGATTTATTTGATATACCTATTTCGATGCCGTAAACATATTTTGAACAAAAACAATTTTTGTTTATTATGCATGGCTAAATTTAAAGGTTGTAGTTATATTAAATGTTTAATTATTTTGCATATATTATCATCATAAAATGCACCAATATATTTTAACGAAAGCACATTAATCAATGTTTAGAAATATTGACTGTTTGTAAATTTAACTAAACTTAGGACGAATGCAAATTTGAGCTAGCCACGGTTGGTGCTTGTTATTTAATGCCACTTGCCATGGTAATATTGTTCGACGGGACTATTTTTCAAGAGTTTATTTTGTAATATTTAGAAATAATCTAGCACGGTATATCCACGTTAAAGTAAACAGATAAAAACTGGACTAATTAAAGAGCGGGTTGGAAAAATAATAACGTTAGATTAGAGTAGATGACATAATATTATAATATTTAAATTACACTGAAATGCAAGTATAATATTATAGATCTGCAGACTAAAGGAAGGCCGGCGATGCAGAACGCGAAATGTGAATTAAGATGTTACAGAAACGCATTGGGTTGAGAAATACCAAGGAGATAATGGAGATTAAAATATAAAGTGTAGTTAAACCTATATAGTTATCAATATAAATAATTACTAGCCATAGCTATACACCATCGGCATCATCGGTTTACAATTCAAAACACGATATTTGAATTTCGTATAATATTGTATTTGTTTTTAACCGTTATATATTACATTTTAT